GAAGGATGTTGTTTTACCTGCCGTTATTTTAGACTACATATGCTTTCTTTTATTTTCTCACTCAATCAGTCTATTTTTCATTTACCCATTCTATCTCTCCATTATCATCATCATCCTCATCTTCATCTTCCTCCTCATCATCACCATCACACGCCTTTCCATTCGTGATGCATCAGATAGGTTCCAAAGTTCCGACGTTTCTACATTTTCAATGTTATTCCACTTAGCACTTGAGTGGCTAATTTCTCTGTGCGTGTGTTCGTCTGTGTGTTTGTGTGTGTTTATGTATGTGTAAGTGTATGTGTGTGTTTAGGTATGTTTGCCTGTGCATGTTTGAGTGTATGTGTGTGTTTATGTACGTGTGAGTGTATGTGTGTGTTTATGTATGTGTGCCTGTGCATATTTGAGTGTATGTGTGTGTTTATGTATGCGTGTGCGTGTGTTTCCGTGTATGTATGTGACCGTGCGTGCGTGTACGTGTTTGTTAAGGAGAATAAACCTAGGTATGCATGCGTTGAAGAGTCTAGTTTAGTTTGCGTGTGTGTAGTTCTTTGCGAAAATGTATCTCTTTTTGTGAGTTCAACTATCTTGAACTTATTTGTCTGTTTAATATAAATTGTGCTGCACACATAATTCTGAAAAATAGCACTCTCATCTACTTTAGCATAGCACTTTAAGGAAAATTTCAAAGAATGAAAAGTGTTTATGATCCATTCTTGAACATCATAAACACAAATCGCACAGACGCAAACAAACAGCCATACAACTAAACAAACGCGCTCATAAGACACACACACACACACTAACACACACACTAACACATACCACACAACACCACCATCCAACCTTGCGCGCTAATACAATACAATATGATTCATTAACTCTGTATCAGGTGTAAAATCGCGAAACAGTCTCATCTACCAACCAGCAACATATCTGTTGGTTTATTGTATACATAAGTTGGCACTGACATGTGTACCTTGCCTAAGTTGTGTGTGTCTCAGTTGTGTATGTCTAAGTTGGCAACATAGTCTCACAACTCACCGTTCTAATGCTTTTTATCCAAATTTATTTTCAACTGTTTTTTAAACGCAGAATTTTAAAATCAAACACACATATACAGGTAGTTAGTATTTACTAGCGCGCGCGCAAACATACATACACACGCACATCACACACACGTACACGCACACACACAAACAATTATATATATATATATATATATATAATATATACTAACATTCAGCATAAATTAACATTAATTAATCTAATTAACATAGTCAACTTTTGGTATGCAAAGTCATTGACCCAATTGAAACTGAAAATTTGAAAATTATGTTGAATGGATTCGCGTTGTTAACTAATTGTTATTCAGGTAAGTATTGAATTGAAACAGTAAGTAATAGGTTTCAATAAAAAAAAACATTTTAAATGGATGTTTGAAATATTGTTTGGATATTTCAAAGAAAAGTTGTTAACGTAAATGTGAGATTTCAGACCAAGTGATGAACTCACCACCTTCAACAACACACACAACAACAGCACACACAACAACAGCACACACAACAACTGCACACACAACAACACGCACGAACAACGGCACACCTCCCAGCACAGATAATTGCAAAGGTTCTAATGTAAACATTGTAAATCGCGCTATTAAATGTAAAACAACTCACACGAATGCGTTGTTTACTATCATTTTAAAATACAAATGTGTGCTAATTTCAAACATCAACACGATCATAAAGAACTGCGATGTTGAACTGTCATAATACAAAAAGGTAGATCAAAACAAAATCAAACAATCCGGCATGGATGGATACAAACACGCTCATATAAAAACACATACATCCAGATGCATACATCCAAACACTTACACATTTTTACACATACACACACCACACACACACTCAACAACAATAACACACACACATAAGTACACCCATAAATATGCACACACACACAGACATACAGACACACACACACACAGACATACAGACGCACACACATATAGGCAAAACACGACTGACTGACTGATTGCTTATTTATGCGTGTCTAATTTGCGTGGCATCGCCGTGTTTTATGTAAGAAATTTGTTTGCGTCGCTAGATGGGCTGCTGAGCGTAACTATACGCTGCAACAACGTTACGAAAATAAAAACAGGAAATGGAACGAGTAACGACGGATTGATATGGTTGGACAGTTTGATGGGAATAGAGTTAAGGAAGGATGGGCACCTATTTTGAGGTTGAAGATGAAGGCACGTCGTCGCAACAGAAACAATGCAATAATTGTGGGTTAATAAATTTTATTTGATTAAATAGCACTAAGTTAGTTAGCTGCTTCAGTTAGCTGGTTAAAGGTTACTACTGATTTTTAGTTGTCTACGCTGATACGAGCAAACGTTTTGAAAATAAATGATGTTTTAAAATAAAATCTTTTTTAAAAGATTTAATCATAAATAAATTAACAAAATGATGAACTAACAAGCAAAAATATAATGAAAAGATACGATAAAAAACATTTACAAAAAAACAAATGAATAAATAACTAAATAATGAATAATTAATTAAATAAATAGGTAAATGGGTGATTGAATGTTGGAAGGAAGGAACAAACGAATGAATGAATGAACTAACGAACGAACGAATGAATGATTGAATGAATGAAGGAATGAAGGAATGAATGGACGCACTTTTGAGTTGGCATTCTGACAGGCTGGCAAGATGAAACTAACAAAGGGTGTGTGTCGGATGGCCAATATGTGTCTAATTAATGCTATTGTTATCAGCGTTTTGAAACTGCATTAGCAGAAAATAGTTGTAATAATGATGAAATAACAATAATTATTATTTTAATTCTTACTATTATTCCTGTTATTGCGTTAATTGCTTTGCTGAAGTTCATTTTGATATCTATTTTTTTCAAATTTTTCAATATATAGCTGTTGAAACTTCTTGAAAAAAAAAACACCAAATGGACTAGAAAATTAACAAAGTTAACAACTGAAAGAGTTGGATTTATTAAATCATGAACTAATCAGAAAAGGCGAACAAAAGAATATTTGCATGGAAAGCTGACAATCGCAAAAATAATGAGTTACTATACTATGCACATATCCGACAATAAAGTAGGAATTAATTCCATCCTGAATTAGTGTCACAAGTTTCACACGAAATATATAAAACACACGATTCCAAAATGAGACACACGGATGTAAATAAAACCTAAACGACGTGCAATCGACATCATGTCAATGGAGGTAGTTTCTAGTTGGCACTCATGTGATAACCAAATATTTATTCTGCCATCTATTCTCATCTGCCTAATCAAACACGCACTGAATTTATTTCCATTTTTCATATTTATCATTACTGTTTATGATTTCGCATATTTATTTCACTATTTTTCTAAAGAAGTTTAAAGTGCTAGAGCTCCGTTTCATTACAAATTACAAGCTACAAGGAACTTTCGAAACTTTTTTGGACGAAAAACAAAAACATTTTGTATTCGAAATTTTAAGTTTCTAATATGGAGTAAAAGCGAATTAAACTAGATTGAAAAAGAAATTGTACAGTAAAACAAAGAAACTGAGAATTCTGTGTCGACGACAATGAAGCTCCTCTGGCCGAGAGATGCTCAGACGACTTGCCAATCAATGCGTAACATCAATTTAATAAGCACGTGCTCTGCGAGAATGCGGTTACGAAACGCAAGCTAACTGTCAGCTGCAGCAGCATCACTGAAAGAGCACGTTGAAGAACATGCCACCTCAACGTCAGCACTGTCTGCAAATGCTGCAAATGATGACCTCTCAATGACCTTTCATTGACACGCTCTCTTCTTCTTAGTCTCCCCACTGGTAACTCGTTTAATTTTTCTATTTTTAGCATTACCATTGATCGGTCATAAAATTTATAACTGGACTGAATATTTGTGTGTGTTGTTGTGCTGTTGATGTGAACGTTTTAGCTGAAGTTGCATATGTTGTTACAGCTAATTCAGTCCAGTTTTTTTTTTTTTTTTTTTTTTTTTTTTAAAAAATAATAAATAAATAATAAATAAATAAAAATAATAATAAATAAAAATAATAATAAAACGTCCACATCAACAGCACAACAACACACACAAATAGTGGTTTAACCAAATATGCACACCAACCAACCAACCAATTAACCAACCAACCAACCATCCAGCCAACCATCCATCCATCCATCCATCCATTCAACCAACCAACCAACCATCCAACCAGCCAACCAACCTAACGCATGTCAAGCATCAGACGAGAAATGAGACACCATAGCAGAACAGTTATATATTGTGACACTAGTATCGTATCATGTTATCTAACATTCATTTACAACCAATAACATTAAGGTATCAAATCACGTGGCAAATAATAAATAATAGCCAATCTGTTATCGGCCGTTTCTTCATCTGGCTGAGTGATTGAAAGTGGTTGAAAATGTTCGTCATTCATGAAGTTCATTTTATTAGCTGCTTGCTACACACACACACACACACACACACACACACACACACACACACACACACACACATACACATACATACACACACACATCGATATATACATTTATATAAATGTCGTAAATGTATATATATATATATATATAGCACGCACATGTGCATGTTTTATGTATATACACACGCGAGTATATAGGATGTGTGGATGTAAATAGACAGTTGTGAGCGTGTAAATATAGACAAGAAAGTAGCCATTGTAAACTTGTGCAAGCACACAAAACTAATGTACGCACATGTAGAAATGAATTTATCTTATCGCATGTCAATCGATATAGTTTGGTCTGGCAAGGAATATTAGGAGGTTTATGTTATCTTACTTCTTAATGTCTTACAGACGACGAATCAACTGGTTCTACAAATTTTGAACGCTATCTAAAGAATCTCGTTCAATAGTCTAGAAGAATAAATAATAATCTGAAAATACCAACATATGTTTTGTATTGCTCTTGAGAATGGATTACAACGAATGTCTGATGTCATACTACGTATATAAAGCAAGAAATTATTTCGATACGTTCTTGAACGAGGTGATTTTTCAATTTTTAGTATTTTGTTACATTTCATTCCCAATTGATATACAAGCAACATAATTAATGAATGATTTTGTCGAATGTGTAACTGGTTCATATTTGTTCAAAGAGTATATATTACCTTACGTGTTAGAATTAAACGAATAATTTGATGATTAGTAGGGCGATCATATGATTGACGTGGTGAATGGTGTAATGAATAATTTTCTAAAAAGGTATGTACAAAAAGTAAAGTACATTTCAGAAAAAGACATGAACTCTTGAATACATTTGTTTTTATGCGTTACGAACAGTGATGACTCAAAAAATAGCAAACTCTAAGAACTATGAGGTTTATTTTTAAACAAAAAAACATTAAGCCGCCGTGATGTCTTCTGCACCGATCAACACGACACGAGCGCAAGCAAACAAGACTGCCAACTTAACTTAAAAATTACGTAATGAATGTGATTGAGACCAACATATTTGGCATGCAACACATTGTTTCAAAGTTCGTCCGGTCTTCATCAAACTTTTCACATGCGAATTTGCATTCGACTCACATAAGCATATATTCTGAGGTTGTTACGAAAAAAAATTGAAGTAAATTAATGAAATTTTATCAAATATCAAATACAGGAACATCTAGTTTTTCATGCTTAAATGAATAAATGCACATGTTAAACGAAATATTAAAACAAAAATAACATTATTTATAGTAAATGTAAATAAAGTTTTATGAAACAAGCCAAGAATCAAATAGATAATGGTAAATTTTTGAAGGGGCATTGGTTGGTGCTCTTTAAATTTTAAATTTTGAATCGTTAATTTCAGTTAAAATAATTAAATGAGCTGATACGAATCACTCTGTGACAAGGTACAGAGTGATTCTTATTAAGCTAATCTATGTTACACAACTTAAGTTGCAGCACTTGACAGAACCAACTAATACAATTGGGTTAATATAATTTAATTAACATGCATGGTGGTAAATTTATTACGCTAATTTAAATTAATTAATTTGAATAAAATTTTAAAGAGTTGCGACAAGACGGCAGCCTCAAAAACGCCATCGTCGACGATTGAGAACCACACAAACACGTCGACAGCCACTTCCACGTCAACAGCTTCCAACTCTGAAGGAAGTTCTAACCAAGACGACAGTGGCCTCTATAGCAGGACTGATGAGAGCCTGAAGACGGATGACAGTCTCGATCAGGTTGATCTTCATTTCGTTACTTTGTATTGTTTCTCGTCATGTCATCTAGTTTTTGCTGTTGATCAAATAATGTTAATCGGTTGTGAATATATAATGACGAATCTTTTCGCGAGTTCTCATTTGAATTGAATTGTTTGAGGTACTTGACAGTTTTTGAAACTGGCATGCACTTAAACCCCAACTTAATGAAGCAACTTTTTTCAAAATTTGGTGGTGCGTCTGGTTTGACGCATTGTTTGCTGACTAATGAGAGTTAAGTTGTTTATCCATACGTTACCTTTTTTTGTTCGCATTATACCGCATTAATTTTTTCTAATTTTACTTAATGAATTTGTAACAAAAACGTATTATTTTCTTTCAGTGTTTTGTTATAAATTTCAGAATTTTGTTATAAAACAAATTTGAATGACAAAAATGAATAAGAATGATTTAATTATGAGACAGCATTCTCGGGCGAGTATCTGTTTTGAAAGGTAACAAAGACTAAATTAATTTTAAAATTAAGCAAACAACCGCACGTCTTAATCAGAATGAACTCAACGTTGTAATGTTTGCGCACGCACACACGCACCACGTACACGTGTGTGTGTGTGTGTGTGTGCGCGCACGATAATTATCCAAATTTTCTTTGTCTGAGAAAGTAGATTGAGCACATGAAACAAAATACGAAAAAGTCATTATTATACTCATTGAACCTAAATGTGACGGACACACTGCAATCAACTTTTGAATCCTAGTTTGGTTTTGATGTTTATTTACACATCTTATCTACTTCTTAGCAATGCATTCACACAGATGCTGATGATTGATTTGGTTTACTTATGCAAGAAATGTTGTATGAACGATTAGTTGCGTAATAAATGCATTGCGTATATATATATATATATTTGATAGAATATATGTATATGATTGATTGTAATTAAAATTTAATAAAACGTGTCTAATTAATTACGTTAATTTTTAAACAATAACATTATTAACATAGTTTTAATAATTGTTTCATTTCACACTGAAGGAGTTAACTGACCACTACCACCTGCCAACTCATTATGACCACTTCGAACCGAGCAGCGACGAAAACAACAACAACAACAACTACAGACAGTTACTCAACTCCAACGTTGATCATATGCAGTCTTTCAACAATTACAGCAATGATAACATCACCAACGCTACAAATTACTTTTTGTACGAGTTGTCTCGCATTTTGGCTCCTCCTATCGACAGCGAAGTCTTCAATAGCGAACGTTCACTCAGCGACATCCATCAGTCGATATGTTTGCCGAGAAAGAAACGTTTAGTTCCTAAAATGGGAACCAGGATAGCAAAGAATAACAACGAAGTTATTCCGCACAACAGCTTCGACAACAACCTGAACCACAATGAACGACTTGATAAGGAATGTCTCGATTCAAGTGACTACTCAATTTGGTTGAGGCAGTCTAAGATGGACTTATCTATTGATGCATTGGGGTTTTCCAAACTGATAGATAAAAATGAAACCTCCAACTTTTCATTAGACAGCGATACCAAATCATATTCATCATCCAAGTCCAGTTTAACAGATCATTCAAAAGATTCGTTCAACAAAAATTTTTCCATCAACAGCATCAACTCAACAGCAACAAACTTACAACAAACACTACCAGCCACCAGCTTCAACATCGACAACAATATTTGCCACAACGACAACAACAAAAACAATCTCATAAACAAAAGTACAACAGTCTGTAGCAGGTTCAACATAGAAAACAATTCTAGTCGCAACAACAACAAATCAATATCTGCATTTTTAAAGAGCAAATTATCTTCTAGCCACAGCACTAACACGACATCCTGCAGCAACGACACAGACGTTAAAAAGTCCAATTGTGTCGACCGTAATGTAAGCAAGAGTAACAACTACAACAACAGTTGCAGCAACAACAACAACAGTTGCAGCAGCAACAACAACAGTTGCAGTAACAAACCACATAAACAAAATAATAAAAGCAAGGAAGCCAGCTTACCATTTTTGATAAAATGTTTACAACCTTGTGAAAAACAGTCAAAAAGCAGCACTATATACAAGCAAAGTGTGAGCAACGTCAACAACATTAACAACGACATAAACAACAACACAACAAATTTTTCTAACAAAGTCAGCAGCTATAACAATAACTTTCTTAATAATAATCCCAACGGTTATAAAATAATTAGCAACAACCACAATATATCAAGTAACACTCCAATGAATAGTCCCAGTGTTAGCACTCAACCGAATTTTCACTCCAATCTCAACAATCGTAAAGTAAACAACAAAAATGTAAGTTTCCGACTATCCAACATAAGCGAAAATATTGACGATGACAATTACATGCGCCTTTTAAATGTAACTCAGAGTGACAACAGAAAAACGATCAAATGTCCCACCAACAACAGCAACAGCAGTGACACTCGTGACCAGCCCAACCACAACAACAACAATGAATCACTTTCAGAATACGTCATAAACAACAGCAACGTTGATGCGAGAAGTAAAGAGGGCACTGCAAAAAGCTCTAAACTTGTGGCATCTTACGAACTACTCAAAAAGTTGTATTCGCAGCATCTAGATGTCATGTACACGAATGAAGCCAATCTGGAACACACCATGATGATTCAACAAAAATTATTCACCCAACAAATCGAACTTTTGAAGAAAGCAAAGAAAAACAAATCCCATCAACCGCCCACTCACGCACCTAACGAACAAACAACACAAACAACGACTGATAAAAAAACCTGCACCGTTTCAACGAGAGCCAACGATGTTAACGCATCCAATCCAAACGATCAGCACAAACCCTCAGTTGAAATGGAGTGGGTTGTTAAACGAAGATCCGATGGGTCAAGGTTTTATGTGTTCTCAATTATTTACTGATGACAAATTTTTGCAAAATTTTAAAAAAGTTGTTCGCCATCAAAAAAAAAAAATTAAACCTGTGTAATAATAAAAAAAAAAACAATGTTAAACAATCATTTAAAGTAACGAGCTTAAAAGGAAATTATTTCAATGAAAAATAGCGGTTATGTTTCCAGTTATGTCATTATTAGTAGATTTATAGCATGTAATAACAATGCTTCCTGACAAGCAGTTGCAGCACATGTAATGTAAAATTATTGAGACATAATTGAGGAATGTTGTTTTGAGGGCTATAATAAAAATTAAAAAATGTATTTGGTGGAAACTTTCTTTGATACATCGCTTGAAGAACTTGTTTATATCTATGCTTAGTTTTTAGTACCTTATAAAAAATCGGTTTGAACATTTTTTATGTGATAGTAACTAGCTATTCAAAAAGAAAAATTGTTTCTTCAAATAATTTACTTTTTGATTTTAATAATTCAGTTCGACAAATTTTTTGATATCTTGAATCGCCATGTTGTCGTTTAACAAACCTATATTTGATTAGCACTTTAAACTATTAGATCACATAAGCATTGGGTTTGTTATCTGGATTCATAACTGATACTCACATTGAATAGTAAAATTTGAAGATTCTCATCAAAAATTACTAATTAATTAATTTTCATTTAACTACTACAAACATCTATTTCATATATATTGTGGGAAGATGGGATGCCATATCACGAACACAATTCAAGTTTTATTTCACTTTTATTTCTCCCAAAACATTGCGAAAATTCATTTGAACGAAACAACACTGAACAGGTACATAACAAGACGACCAATCAAGAGTCAGAAACATAAAAGGAGGTTGAACAAGAAAACTGAAGACTTGAAGGACCTGACAACGGATGATGACGCAAACCATGAGATGATGGTAGCTGGCAGGTACTGGACGCGTGAGGAAAGGAAGGAGCAAGTAGTTGCAATTTTTTTTTCTTTTTTTTTGTCCAAAATCACGTAAATTTTTTGAGTCTTCGTGTTAATTTTCACTTAACTTTTTTAAAATTTTTTTCATTTTTTTTCAAAGGTAAATAAAATAACTGTACAGCTTTTTACAATATGATTTATGACTCTGTTGCTAATATGCAATTTAAAAAAAATTCAACCTTTTAGCTGAGAACAAAAATTAAAAAATGCTAAACCGAAACAAATTTTTCATTAACTACAACTAACCAATACACGATTTCATTTTGAAGGTGAGAGAGAGAAGAAACAAACTTAAAAACAAAATGGAAACAGTGAAGGAAGTTTCTGACAGCAACCAGCCCGAGAAACAACAGCACCAACAACCCCTCGAAAAACAGGGAAGTGTAGAACCAACCCAGCATAAGACACATGAACCGCACAAACTACACAACATCATGACGGAAAGTAGAAGACTAGATAAATCCAACAAAGACCACAATCTCAACACTCACCACCATCCCAATCGACAGGATTATATTTCTCCCGCTCTGCCAGGTAAATCAGACGCAAAGACGAGAAAAAGTACAAACCAACTGCTATCTGTAACGACAGTTTAATACTATAACGATTTTAGATCTTATCTTCTACTTGTTATATTTATTATTTATTAAACCTTATTGTATTATTACTTCATTCAATACAGACCTATCGTTACTATAAATGTAAATTTTTAAAATAAAAGACGAAACACGATAACACTCATTTATGTATGTGCTTTTTTGTGAGTAATTCATTTGAATATGACAAAGTCTATAATTAATTGCACACTTTTCACTGCCAATGCATAGTAGAATATTTAAATTTTAGCATTTGTTACATTTAATAAAGAAAGTAAAATAAGGATGAACGAATTAGTCTAGCAACCCACTACTGAAAATTATACGGCATCGTTACGTCAGCCGAGTGTCAGAAGTTTTTTTTTTGAAATTTGTTTTGTGATACAATCATCGTATGAATCGCAGTTTGATTAACAGACGTGTGTGCGAGAGTGTGTTTGTGTTTGTGTGTTTTTATTTATGCGTGTGTAGTGGATGTGTGTCAGTGTGTGTAGTGTGTGTGTGTTTTTCTATAAACAATCATGATTAAAATTTTAGTTCAAATTCTTTATTATTAACACTTTTGTCAATTGTAAATTCTGTGTTTCATTTCGAATCTGTAAAGTTTTTAATGTAAAATTTTATAATCTACAATAGGATTGAAACCAATCTGCAAAAAATAAATCAAAAAGTTCGTCTCCAATTTTTCAATCAATATGATCACGTTCTCTTTTATTCCTCAGGGACATCTTCGTCTGAAAATGTTGAAAACATTTTGAACTTGTTTGAAAATTGTAACAGCTAGTGTTTCAAACCAAAAATTTTCATGTGTTTTTTGAAAACTAAATACAAATCCTGTTATAACGAAATATTCAAATCACGACAACGTGGAAACCTGACGACATGTCTCCCTTTAACTTTTGCTGGATGATCTCATTGATGCACTCGTGAACGAATATGTACTGCGACTAAACCATTAGAAAAAGAGTATTTAATATCTAAATGTTTCATTGACATCAATCACATGTGTGTAGGTCTTAGAAATGGTTTCTAAAGATTTTTGTAAAATTATTAATTTAAACAAAAAATTAAACTAAAATACGGTATAAAAATGAAATGATATTGAATAATATAAGATAATATAAGAATGAATAATGATACTGAAATGATGTAAGAGATATTGAAATGAATGTGGCGTTAACCTCTGACTGAACCATGTTGCACCTGGCGTCTCTCATCTCCAAGACGTTGTTGAAGACATTGATCTCACCATCCAAGCCACAATCATCCAACTGTTTCACCAAGCGATCCAGTAGAATATAGATGCCAGCCCGACCTGACCCTGAACTGCAAGTAATGGAATAATTCCACTTTTGTTACTGCATAACCACTATTAATTAGTCTCAATGAGAAATGTTGATTAAATCATTTTTACACAACTTGAGTTGTTATTATTTAAACAGAAACAAAAATTAAGACATTTTTCAATGATTTTATGAAAATCATTTTTTAAAATCTACAAATAGACATTTGTGTTAATGCATAGGATGGGCAGTTAGTGTTCCAACCTACAGTGCACCAAAACTGGGCCTTCGTTCGTTTGAAGTTTCTTTAAATGGTTTTTAATATCTCGGAAGAATTCGAGGAAGGTTGGAACGAGAGGACACTTGAGGTCAGGCCAGGATATGAAATGGAACTGCTCCAACTTTCTCAAGATGTCGCCCTCATCAGGTTATTTAAATTTTTTTTCGGTGATCATTTATAATTTATCTTTATATTATATCTATATTGTCTGTGTATTATATGTCTAAATAAATATATTTATTCATTTGGCTTATAACTTCAAATACTTTTTATTTTCATTAACATTTGTATAAAATAAAAACCTTTACATACTAAAAAACATAAAATAATGATGAGTATAAGTGATTTGAAAGAAGTGTTGTTAAGTTATTATAAACAAATGAAAAAATGTTTAAAAACACCATGTAGTTTAACGCAAAATTTTGTTTTAATATGATATTCAAAAGAGGAATTATGAAGCATACATGTCTCAACTGCATGGATCTTCTCAAGTAGTGATTCATTTGAGATTCGCTCCTTAAACAGACCTGCAACATTTATTTTAATTAATTAACTTCAACAGTTTGTGTATATGTTATTTGTTAATTGGTTAATCAACCAAAAAATTTACAAACCTATCTATCATTCGATTAATCAATCAATCAATTTACGTAGACTCTGTTTAGCTTTATATCCTAACAGTTTCACAGTTTAATTTTAGCTCCACGTTTTAAATTTTTTTTTTTTTGATGAGAGATAGAGGATTAGTTTAGAAATTTTGTAAATGTTTGTCAGAAAATGATACAAGCAACAACAACGGTATTAAAAGCAATCGAATTACAGAATCAATTTGTAATAAAACGGTAAAGTAGAAAATGTTAAAGTTATTAAACTTGTAAAGAAATTAAAACCAAAAATTGGATGTAAATAAGAAATAAAGAAATTAAAGTTGAATTAAAGAGTTAATAAAGTGTGAATGAATGAACTTTTAAGATTTATAAAAAATAGACAAATGACTCATATTTTATGTCCTATATTTATATAACTACTAAAAATAAGCTAGGCATAGTCAATCAACAAATGTAAGTAAAACAAAATATCAAAAAACATAAGCTAAAAATATATTAACAATTACTTTAAAATGTCGAACCAACCTGTATATCGCCGTAAGAAATATACTCATCAAACTGTGTTGGCCAATATTCGTAACATTTCTCCTGCAGAATAAAATTCGATCGAAAGCTATTTCCAAGTTTTTATGTAAAAAAAGGTTTATAACATCATCATTAGCACAATTAAAGGCACATAAAAAAAATGATATTATCATAATGAAATGAGTGCTAAAGTGATGCAAAGTGTTCTCACCAATCATTTTTTCCTTTTTTGTCGCCCGATTTACATGTAGCTAAACTTAAAATTTGAAATGTGCTAATATTCTCCGTAAGTTTATTTTTAACCCATTCGTAGTTGCTGATTTCAAATCACAACAACAGCCTTATAAAATATTAATCGCATTTGCGACCTGACCTTCCCCGTTTCAAACAAGTTAGTCAGCATGACGACAATCTGCACATTTTGTTGCCACAGTAGCTTCCAGAAATCTTCCAATGTGCTTCTCATGGGACTCTGACACGCGATGAACTCTCTCTTCCACGTGTATCCCTGCCAATGAAATCATTATTCCTCTCTTTTATTGATTATTTCAAATGATTGAAAATTATGTTCGTTTCTTCTCGAGAACGTGAAAATTTTCTTCATGACATACCGGCACATAACTGGCATTGATGTAATCATTCGTCGTTCCATCATCCAGATCGGAGTACAGTTTAACTCTGCTATGATCAACTGTTTGTCAATTTACATTAAATAAAATATTTTACTATAATATATAAAAGAGTTGCCCTATTGTTCAACAAAAAGTTGCGCGCTTGTAATTTAATTAGAACGCCATCCATGACCAGGACTGTTAAACAAGTATTTAAAAATTTAGTTATTTCACGGACCCAGAATAAAAATTTTGCAATTCAAGTTTTGAGGTCATTTGCAATAAATATTGAGAAAAATTATACATTATCTTTTACTAGATTTATTAGAATTGTTTCGGTTTCTAGTTTTTACATCATGAAATTAAAACCTAAAAATACTTCAAATCCTTAAAAATGTAAAAATCTAATTTTTTCTTTTATTACCTACAGCTTTTTCAAAGATTGTCCAAGTTAAATTTGTCTGCAACATGTAACTTAAATAATAAATTGCATTTGTATATTTGAGAAAACATTATGTCAAAATATGAGAAATGATTCAACTATTCAAATAAGAATTCATGACTAACAGGGCAAGACATTACTGTATCTATTCTTAATTCGATTTTCTGGCATTTCGGCGACGGATGATTTGTGGTGGAAACTGATGAAGTTCAAGAGCTAAACAGTAAACAATGCAAGAAAAATTAAACATTTTTATTTGCAGATCTAAAATGAATTTATTCTACCTTGACTAACTTACAAATTTCAAAACTATTGTAACTAAAATTATGAAAAAATACAATTATTTACCTAACTGATATCAAAGCATAAATATAAATGTATACAAATAATAAAACATGATGTGAAATGAGATGGGATAAAGTTTTGTTTAAATTATCTTGATCAATCAATCAATTAGTTTGTAAAGCGTTATTTCCGCGATGTTCAAAAGCGCTCCTCAGTGAATTTTGCAAACAGATGGGTCTTGAGATCCGTTGTTAACTTCGTAAATGGTGGAGAAGTAGTCAGAAAAGGAAGTAGAAAGTTTTAGAGAAAAGGGTCAAAAAAGCAAATGCAGATTTAGCAAAAAAATGTTTAACACTAGTTAAGAAGAAATGAGAACAAGAAGACGATCGTAAACCGTTTAGGTTCAATCAATATATCATTAATGTGCAAATTTTAAAAATTATTCTATATTTCATAGGCAGCCAATGCGAGAAAACAAGATGTGGAGATATATGAGAAAAGAAAGAGGCATGAGCAACCAGGCGAGCAGCAGAGTTGAAAGTTTTATTTAAAGGATAGAGTGTAGAATCAGGAAGACCACAGTAGAGTGAGTTACAATAATCAGTGCTATTTGTAGATGACATAGAATTAGTAATTTTAGTAAGTTCTAGAAGGTTTATAGGAGTAAATACAGAAAAAGATTCAGTAGTCAGTTTAATCTTAAGTTGAGACTTAACGACGTTTGGCTTAATCATTTTCATTGATCAGGTAATATAATTAAACAGAACCAAAATAACATTTTTTTATCGTAAATCAAATTAGCATTACGTAAGAAAAGGAACTAACTGCAAATTGTGATGAAAATAAATATTTGGAGTCGCTGTGTAACTGTTGGATATAAGCTGGAAACTCTTTTACCTTCACATTCAGGGGTCTGGATAGATAGATAGGTAGGTAGGGATGAATTGATAGGTAGGTAAGTGTGAATAGGTAGGTATGGTTTTGCATGAAATATGTTATTAATTGGCAAAGTGGCAGAATTAGATTCATAGATTAAATAGATTTATACGTAGTTAAATTCGCTGATTTAATTTTAAAGTTTTCTGGGTTTGCTTTTGCATCGGTTGGAAAGTTTTGGCTAAAATTGAACTTCAGATGAAATTTCATTTTTTTATTTTGTTTCCAAACGTAATCTTTTTCCCAATATGTTAAAAGGAAATATCTTAAAATTCAGCAATTAATTATGTTACTTGGTTCATTGATTGAACTGCACTCTATTTTGTGTGAATGCATTTATTGCAATTTAATTTTCAAACAAATTCAAAGAAATGATATAAGACAAAATATAAAATAAAATATTTGATTGATACCTATGGGAGTTAATCTCCTGAAAGTCGTGGGAGAATGTAGGATTGGTGTGACCGCCGAAACTCAACGAACTACTTCTCCTGGATGCAGAACTTTGAATTTTTTGAAATTTTCATCAATAAAATAGAAACTTTCTAACATTTCATAAATACAAACTGTTTAAATGTCAGTCCCGAAGCACTGGTAAATTTTTTTATGACTTTGTAAATTATGTAGATGGCGATGAGTGCGAACGTTGCCGCAAACATGGACATGAATACTGACGCACTAATATCTGTGTCGAGTGGTTTTAAGATTATGCCATTTTGTTTTAAACATTTTTCAATTTTGTATGCTTTCAAGTAAACAAATTTATAAAACAGAAAGTTGTTTTTCAAACTTTTATAATCATTGGAGAGATGAGGAGTGGTGACATGGATGGTATGGGGCAGGCTGAAATTACCAGGATTGGAAATTTGCACGATGATGAGGTAATTCGTGCCGGGTTGGAGATTGGTGAAGTTGTAGCTCCTCTAATATATTTGGATTATTATGAATCAGACAGGGCTAATTATTGAAAAAAATTCATAAATAACTAAAAAAAAGAAAATTAATGATTTAACTGACGCGTTCAAAACTGGAAAGAGAAATCTGATCTGCTTTGATTATTTCGTGATTGTTTGCATCATCATCCGCCACATACTAGGTTAATTTGTTAGAAATAATTTAATCGAATAATCAACATTTTTATTTATTGATACAAAATAAAATAATGCATGTAGCATTTGGTGGTACTTTTATTAGGGTCAGACAAATGTGATTGTAATTGAAAAGTTCAATTAATTGATCGTCATCTTCATTGGCGCGAATGTCAACGTTGTGTCTAAACATGAAGGGCTTATAGAAGAAATGTAGAGAGATGAATGTATGGGATACGTTCTTCGTGATTCGAGTTAGTGGGCTTGGCTCTGAAATATTAGAGAATCAAATCACTAGCATTGAATACATATATAAATAATATTGAAGAATTGAACATACTTGTCCAAAACTCCACAGAGACAGGGGGAGATTTTGTGAGAATAGTGCCATCACCAATTTCATAATCAATAACCTCTGAAGGTTCCAGCGTGATGCCGTCGTGCAACTGAAACTTTTTTGAAGCAACGTATATGATAATATTATACTTTCTGTTTGGAAGCAATTGATTAGTATTCCAGTAGTTTGTGTCACATTCTAAAGAAAAGGTCCCATTTTGATTGTCAGGTAACACGGACATCGTTTTATGGGACTTCAAGTAGGATTTCTGAAATTCCATGCCTAAAATTTTTAAAATATTGGTAAATTGGGTATGCTGGTCTTAAATTTTTTCATATATTGTATTACTTGCAGCATCGTCAGCATTAGTTTTATCAGCCGCCCTGAGTGGGGTGAGATCGAGTGCCACGTTAATGACCATATGATCGCAGCTGCTCAGCTCGATGATGTCACCAATTGTTAAATTTACTTGGTTTACACCAGTTTTTACAACTACAACTTTTGGCTCTGCTGGATCTACCATTAGAAATCATTTTTTTTTATTGAAATAGTTTCTGAGACAGTGTATTTGAAGTTAATGCTCACGTACTTGTCATGAAAAAAACCGATCTGCTCCTGACCCCATCATCGCTCAGCAGTTGTAGATATGCTTCGTACATGAAACCTCTGAAGAGGTCCTTACATTGGCCTTCTGTCTGGCTCGCACTTATTTCTAATTTTAAATTTAATCACATTTAACGATTTGATGACAATTAAATCACATTTTAGGCAAAATTTCACAAAAACTAGACCGATTTACATAATAAAATAAATCACTTCAATTTAAACCGTTTAAAGTGAACTAATTAGTTAAACTAACGCATTTCCGCGTCTGTTTTGTAACCGAAGTTTTTCATGGACGAGTGTTGGACATCATCTTTTGGACTGAGTCGTTTGCAGTGAAGTATGTAGTGATCCATGAGTGCCTTTGGAAGAGTCCATGATATTTTAACGGACAGATCTTCAACTTTTGTAACGGTCAGATTTGTTGGCAGTGCCGATGAGAAATCTGATGAGTGAACATTAAAAGAGTAGCATATTATCCTACCTCGCTCCAGCTTAGCAGATTTAAAACTGACCTGCTTTTATGGTCACATCGTCGCTAGCCACACTTTTATTCATTCTTGCAACAATAAGTTTAACCACATAATCTTTACTTGTCAAACTTTTGAAAAAACTTATGCTACCAGATCTATTATATTCATGCCCTTCTGAATAAGAGTACATCCATGAATATTCAGTTTTTTTGAAATGCTTAACAGACACATCAATATAATCGCAGATCCCAGTTTGAATCCACGTTAAACAGATTGTTGTTACGTTTCGAATCACTCCTTCAACTTTGGTTGGTACGGCTGGATCTTTTGAAAAAATATTTCATTTAAAATTGTAAACTGTCAAATTAATGAAAATATTTTCATTCACCAAATAGATAACTTCTTGTAACCCACTGGCTTTTAAATTTGTCTTTGTGAGATGTGACGTAAACGGAAATATTGTACAACTGCCCTGGCAAGAACTTATCACGGATTACGCATTCGATGAGTCGAGTTTTGTCATCATAATTGTAGCTAGTCGACTTTACCACTCCATCTATGGCGTAATAAACTGCATCAAAGGCAAGTTTTTGAGTCCATTTTAACAACATCTCCTGCTTCTCGTTCATACTTACCTGCAAGTTCTCAGGCTCCGATGGTACTAAATATTATTAATAATAATGTTATTATTATTAAGTGATATTAGTATTATGTTGTTACATAGCTAGTTTAGTAATAAATTTAAACACTTTAAATTTATTTATATTCATATTAAGTTTATTTTCAAAATTAATTTAATTTTTCTACTGTGCAATGTGCTTTTTGAACCAAACCGATCTCAGTGTTCATCGGAGTTTCATTTTTATAAAGAACATAAAATTTAGCGTGAAATTATTAGATTTAAAATATATTACAAAAAATATCCAAATAAATATTACAGTTGTTATTTATATAATACACTTCCTAATGTAATGAATGAAAAATGAAAGTTAGTTAGCTTTTCTTACCTTCATGAAAATTTGGATCGACATTGCCATCATCTGCCTTAGAAATATTTAGGCAGTACTTTTTGTTAGCTTTGAGAGATTTTATTGAAACTCTTGTGCCGTTGGTTTCTAAATGCGTTTCTGCTTCAACTTTGTTATCGTTCAAAAAGAATTCAAAATTTTTTATGTTCTGATCGTCGGCTAAAAATTCCAACGTGTCCGCAGTCACTCTCACTTGACTCAACTTCACTAAATCGTGAATAAATAAAATAAATAAATAAAAAATAAATATAGAACGTGCTAGTTATAACAATATGAAAAAATTTAACATTTTTAAAAATTATTAACAAATTTTTTCAAAAATATATGAACAAAGTTGGTTACCATTTTTATTATTTATTTGAACACTGTAGATGTCGTCAACGATCGAAGTCATGTTTTTCTCTACAATTGGATCTACATTTGTTTTTCCAGCCTTATATTC